CTGCCGTGAGTCAGGTCCCTGCACAGTCCTCCCTGGCAGTGGAGGAACACTGGTTCTTTGCATGGCCCCAGGGCGGTCCCAGCCTCTGTCCCCGGCCTGCGCTGGCTCGGAGCATGCCGGCCATCTGCTTGGGCGGAGCCTGCCCATCACCGCCTGGTGCCTTCCCGCCCGTCCTTTTAAGGCCTCTCCTCCTCTGGGAAGCTTTCCCAGATGAGGCAGGCGATGGAGAAGCTGCGTCTTCCCCACCACCATACCCTCAGGGTGGCACTTGGCACCGTGAGGAGCTATCTGGGGCTCCTCTGGGTGTTTTCCCCTCCCTGTGAGCTCCTGGAAGGCAGGGGTCCTGGCATTCCATCTTGCCTCCTCGCGTCATGGGCGTGCCTGGCAGCCTGAGGGGCGGGGAGTGGGACCAGGCACTGCAGAGGCCCCCAGCCTGGGTCTGAGGCTGGAGCTGGAGTCACAGGGTGGCAGTGCCGAACCCAGGCATGCCACTGGCACACACCCAGGCTGTGCAGACAAGGGCGGTGGCCGCTGTTCTTCCACACATGTCCTCCTCGTGGCAGCCCGGTGCTGCTGCCTGTGGTAGGGTTAGGGTCTGCTGTCGCTCCTTGGGCCATGACATCGCCACTACCATCACATTTGCGGAGCTCCGTGGGCATCCTTGGGAGCGTCCGGACCAGCAGCGCCTCCGGTACACAAGGCTGTTTCTTGGTGAATCAGCAAGTCTGGGCTCCTGCCGTTTCTGGGTGAGCCCTGTGCTTGGACAGTTATGAATCATTTGCTTGCCTCTTGATTTGCGTCAATCAAACCACATGTGAAGAAAGCGGCAGTGAGCGGCGCTCTGCCGGCAGCCTGGCTCCAGCGCGGGGTGGCTTGCCAGGGACAGCCTCAGGAGGCCAGCCTGCGCGGCCTGGTGGTCTGGGCTGCGGGCCTGGGGTGGCCTCAGCGCGAGGGGCTTCCGGCTGGCCCCCGCCCTTTCTTCCCCCAGTCCCCGTCAGCTGCGGGAGATGGGTGAGATGGTAATGATAGCCTGGCGTGTGCTGGCTTCCTACGTGTAATCCTGTGGCCACGGGCACATATTCGCAGCTCTGGGAATGTTTACAGTTGGAAGCTCATCCGCTGATCTGTTCTTCCCTGTCACACAAAATCACTCCAGGACAGGGCTCTTTGCAAAGATTCCTTGTAAGAAAGGCTTAATTAAAAAGGGATGTCACCATACCCCTCCCCTCCTTCAAACCAAGAGGAGCAGCAGAGGGGGGAGTGGCCCAGGATCGGAAGGACAGCCGGGAGGAGCGTGGGCACCAGGCCAGGCCTAGGGAAGGTCCGTCCACCCGGGACTTCTGAGCCTTTTCTTTTCTGGAGCAGCTTTGGGGATGAGCCTTGCCCCCCGTTGAGTCACTGTGACAGCTCTGCACTGTGCTGGGCTGAGAGAGCCCCGCCGTGGAGGGCCAGCTGGGAAACTAGGGTTCCCAGGGGACCCCTGCTTCAATGGCTTGCTGTGCTTTGGTTATTTTCGAGGTAAGCAAATTAGGTTCTCGTTTTTGCTGTGAAGGTTACTTTTATTGTTGTTGAATTAGCTGTTGAATAGTAGCTGTTGTCCTAGTTTCCTGGTTAGTCATGGCTGTGGCTCGTGCCTTAGAGACCAGCAGCACCCTGGCTCATTCCCGTCTCTTGGTGGGGTCCATACATAATTTGCCCTTAAAACTGGGAGGGGACGCCAGGGTGCACTGGGTTTGTGCTGCCTTTTGGTAAAATAATCAGAAGTGGGGTTTGTGCTGCCTTTTGGTATGATCAGAAGTGGGGTTTGTGCTGCCTTTTGGTAATGATCAGAAGTGTGTTTAGATGTGCCTGATCCAGGGAATCGTGGAAACTTAGTGGTCATGACGTCCTCTGGCTCTGAAATTTCTCACTGAATGGGCTGGGAGGGTGTAACCTTCCACAAGTGTGAGCCCAGGTTTATGTTTGCAACAAATAATAAACAGCAAGACAGAACAGAGTGACACCCCTGTCCAAATCTAGCACCTTCACTGGCTATCTTTCATTTTTTATTACAGAAAATTTCAAACATTTACGAAAGTGAAAAGACAATAAGGAGCAGACTAGGCTGCTGCCCCCACCTTCAGAGATGGCTGAGCAGGGCCAGGCGTGCCTCACTGTATTGTTTCAAAGCAGTTCTACTGTCATGCAAGTGTCTTCTGAACAGGCAACCGTAATACCATTATCACAGCTTTAACACGTTAATACGTTAATACCATCAGATAATCAGTCATTTAAAATCCCCATTGTCTCAACAAGTGTTCATTCTCTTTTCTTTTCGTATGTGACTGTTGTTCAAATAAGTGTTAAGTAAGGTTCGTGGGTTCTGATGGGCCACTGTCACTTGTGATGGACACAGCCGTTCCCTGCCTGTTGCCCTCCAGTCTGTTTGTTGGGGAGCTCGGCTTGTTGTGCTGTTGCATGGCCACAGCGGAACTCTCACTGCCTGTGTCTGTGTGGCGTGTTGAGCAGGTTCCTCCCCACTCTCTTTCTGGTGACCTGGTGGTCGCAGCTGGAGCCTGTGCCGGACTGGGGCTCGTCGGCGAGACTGTGGCATGGGAGTGTAGGCGTTCTGCTGGGTGATGAGCAGGTCCTGAAGGTCGCTGTCTAGCTTCATTCCCTCCTTCCTGGGGGCTGCAGAGTGATAATCCAAGAGGCTTATTCTTGACTCAGGTAAAATACTTCTGCAGAGAGGAAGTGCCCTCATCAGCTCTTTGGCTCACAGAGGGAACACTTTCTTTCTTTACCATCTTTCAGAGGAATGAGCTCGTTGCTTTACATCATCTGAAGGTAACTAGTGAGTTTTGTTGTTTGTTTTTGTGTGTAATTGTGAGCTCGTGGATTTAAGTGTATTCCATGTCTTTTAGGCCTTTGCTGTTGTTATTCTTATTGATGTTCACCTTGTCCTCCTTGATACACGAGGTCCTGTGGAGTTGGCCCTTGAGTCTTTTGGACATAACCCTTGCAGTCTTTGATTGCTTCCTTGCTCTGCTGTGACAAGACACCTTGTCACCTTGTATAATTCCTGTCCCCGGAATTTATCTGATAATCCCTCCTCTCAGTATCCTTAAACACATGTGTAAAGTCCGTTTGAACATCTGAGGTAATGTGTTTCCAGGTTCCGGGAATGAGGATGTAGACCCTGTGCGGAGTATCGTTTATCCTTCCTGTGCTCAGCCCTCAGACCCGCAGGTCTGGTCTCTGACTCTGCCACTCATTGTAGGCAACTCTCTGGCCAGATCGCTAGGGAGGGAAGAAACCGTTGCAGGAATGCAGGGACAGCTTGGGATGAGAGGGCCAGGGTAGATGCCCATCTAAGGGTCTAGGAAGGCACAGAGGTGAGCCCCTCTACTGCTCTTGTCCCCTGCAGCTGCCTGCCCTGCTCTGCCAGGGTCAGAGGGCATCACCTGGGGCGCCCACAGCAGCAGGGCAGGGGTGCCTTAGGGGTGAGTGCAGATGACTGGCTGCGAGAGGTTCCAGTGCTGGGTTTGACGGTCAGGGTGGTCTTGGTATCTTTTTGATTCTGGCCATCCTTGTGGATAGAAAGTGACATCTCATTGTGATTTTGATTTACATTTTCCTGAGGTTAACAACTAATGATGGCAAGCGTCTTTTCACCTGTTCGTGGGCCATTGTACATCTTTGGAGAAATGTCTGTTTAAATCCTTTGCTCATTTTAAAATTAGGTTATTTGCCTTTTTATTGTTGAGTTGTCGAGGCCCTTTATATTCTAGGTGCAGCTTCTTGATCAGCTATATGGTTTGCAAATATTCTTTTCCATTCTGTAGGTTGCCTTTCTGGATGGTGTCCTTTGAAGCTCGGAAGATTTTTATTTTGATGGTATCCTGTTTAGCTATTTTTTCCTTTTGCTGCCTGTGTTTTGGTAACCTATCAGAGACATTTATTGAACTCAGATTGGATTGGCATGGTGATGTGGGCCCCCTCTTGGGGCTCCTGGCTTTTGGCTTCTGTTGGCTGTAAATGCTAAAAGGCTTCTCTGGGCTGTTCGGAGACACAGATTTGATTGCCCAGCCAGCTTCTGCAGCGTCTAATGGCTGGATTCGCTTTTCCCACAGTTGTTTTTAATTGAATGTCCATGGGAAAGTGGCCAAGTAAATGGAAGGTTTCACAGAGAGAGCTGGGTTTCTTTGTTGATTTTTTTTGGAAACTGTGCTTTTTTGTCATTATTGTGCAGAGTTTGTTGGAATCTGGCGCCAGGTCGTGAATGTCTGCTGAGATTTGTGTTGGTCTTGTTGAGTATGGCAGCATGATAGTGGCTTTTCCCCCACTCTAAACACAAGTTCCAGGAAATTTCGAGGCTCTGTGTGACTTCCAGGTGGACATCTTCCCTATTGAGAGATTAATTCTGGGACATGGAGCCATCAGGGACTCTGAATGTGGGACACACAGCCTGAGGGGAGAGGCCGCGTCGTGGGAGGATGAAGGGCAGCCTGTCTTCGGGGTCCAGAACTGAACTCTCACTCAGCAGCTGTGCCGGCCTTAGCCACCCAGGCTTTGTGTCGGTAAAATGGGGATGACGACGGCGCCTACCCGAGAATCCGGAGAGCCACATTGGGGGATGGAGAGCTCTAGGGAGGATGCCGGCAGATTCGGCTCTCATAGTCCTGAACACAATCACCAAGAGGAACTGTTGACTTCATGTGAACTGAGTATTCCTCACTATTCCAAACACAGCAGCACTGAAAACTTAGAATGTGTAAACAAAAAACACACTAAGCTGACCGAGCGTGGTGGCTCACACCTGTAATCCCAACACTTTGGGAGGCCACGGTGAACGGATTGCTTGAGCTCAGAAGTTCAAGTCTGGGCAACACGGCAAAACCCCTTCTCAAACCCCTTCTCTACTAAAAGTATAAAAATTAGGCAGGTCTGGTGGCGTGCACCTGTGATCCCAGCTACTCGGGATTCTGAGATGGGAGGATCGCCTGAGCCCAGGAAGTCAAGGCTGCAGTGAACCATTATTGCACCACTGCATTCCAGCCTGGGCAACCGGAGTGAGACGCCATTTCAAAACAAACACCGAAAAACACACTAAGCCCCAACCTTTTTACTAGTTTTACATTCTGAATCTTGCATTTCCTTCAGCTCCAAACTAATGAGGAAAGTGAAGGTTGTGTGTCTATCGGATAAACCCAGTCCTTTGAGTTGTAAGTATTTTGGGAGATTTGTAACTAATTAGGATATATTTAATATTAGTGCACATATTTGCCATGTTTCTGAATGAGGAACGGACACTGTATTTTCCTTGCCAAAAGCTAGCCTACCAGTGTATAATTTACTCTGTATTTGAGGTTTTTTGGAGATCTGTGCGTATATTGGTTTGAACTAAGAGCCACTTAAGTCTGCACGTGCCGCTCACAGTAACACTCACATCTGTTGCTTCCGTCAACAGGTTGTCTTACTCCTTTCCATTAAGTAGATGGTTTAATGATCTCAGAAATGTCAAATAGTTCCCCATTAGTGCATGTAAGAAATTATATAAACGTTGAATGCAAGTAGCACGTCTTTGTTTGGAACAAGGGAGTGGTCCTGTTCCCAGGAGACTGGAAAGCATTGTAATATTCCCGATTAGGTTATAAATGTCTAGGTTTTTTAGCCCCCGGACTATTTCAGCTTATTCTGGATTCTCATTTTTAAAGGCCTCTTTTTCTCTATCGCCTGCTTCGCCGTGTCTCACCGCGAGATTTCCTGTTTTTCTGCATGTCGCCGGCTCTGCCCTTTCTCCTTTCCAGTTGAACACATTGGGGGACAGCTAATGAGCATCCCATTGAGGCCACAGCAGGTTCCTTGGGCTTGCTCAGAATTTCCCTCTCCACGGTGTCACCAACAGTGCTTCTCTATTTCCATCATCCATTTATTTTTACACATACAGTTGTGGACAGGCCGCAGGGTCCACACAGCTGCTGCAGTGCAGCCTGAGACAGAGCTGATGGGGCAACCTCCAGGACTTTGGGTCCTCACCTGCTGCCTTGAGAGTAGTCAGGCTGCTGAAAGGCTGGTGACATCCTGAGCTCATCCAGAGAGTAGGCTCTGGGACCTCAAGGGCCACCTGTGTGCAGTTGACTCTCTCCCAGAGTTGCCTGTTGTGTTTTGTGTAAGGACATCATTTGAGGGGGGCGGTAAGTCAGGTCCACTCACCACTGTTGTCTACGAAGCCCTGACACATGATAATGTGCAATTAACAAAGTGCTGGGATGAGATTTGAGCCAGCCTTGGGTCGTAAGAACCAAACCCATCATCGCTGGCCTTGTAATTACACTGTTGTGTGTGGACAGTTTGTACTTTTCCCCTTTCGAGCAACTTGGAAGATTTGCTGTGTCTTGAAGTTGAAATGACTTGAGTCATCTTCCTTTAGAAGCCTTCTGTGTAGAAACTCAGCCTCTGAACGCGTGGTGAGCCGGCAGTCCTGGCCACAGGGTGACCAGTGCTTGATATTTGTCTTTTTAGGAAAGTGCACAGGGGCTCGCAGTGGCCAGCCCACTGGGGCGAGTGTAAGGACCCTCCTCCTCCGGGAGACCAGCAGAGCATCATGCTTCTCATTCAGTGGGGAAAACTGAGGTTCTGAAGAATGGAGCTTGCAGATAATTCCTGCAAACTGGGATGGAGTTTGGCACTGAGCTAAAAGGTGTTGAGGTGATGCCTGCAGGAGTTACCTGGCCAGTGCTAGGAAGTCAGACCCCACCCTTCCTTGGGCACATAGACAACGTACAGTATTTGCTAGGTGCATATGTGCATCACATGTATGTAGACGTATGAATGTATGTATGTCTGAATGATGGGGGTGCTTGGACGGCTTCCATCTGCTGGTAAATTAGGTCTTAGTGAGCACATTAAGAATGTCTTCTAATTGAGCGTTTCCAGTGGTAGCTGCCTAGAATCAAGCCACTGGAAGCTCAGCTATGGAAGTGATGGGTCCTTGAGATTTCTTGCCAGTGCGATGAGCCTTTCTTTAAAAGCCAGCTCAATTCCATTCTTCTATGTAGCTGTTTCCTTGTTTCTTTCCATTTTGTGGGGTAGGGAGCCTGGCACCATCCACCTGGTGCCCCAAGGTCTCCTGGTAGGCTTCCGCACAGAAGCTTGCCTGCGTGACCCTGTTCTTGGTTAACGACTGACGAAAAGGCTAAGAGAAGTTCGGTTCCCACACCTGGGTCTCTGCAGTTTCCTGGGGAGTCCTCTTCCATTTTCTCTGTCAGTCCCTCGTGAGGGGCTGTGTCCCTGACTGGAAATGGGTGGTCCCCTGGGATCACCCTGTCTTCCTGGGCCCGCAGGCCTCCTAGTCACAGGGCAGGTTCTCCTGTCCCTCCAGGCGGTCATGAGCACCAAACTGAGTGTACTGTGGAAATGCTGGGTCAAAGCCAGTACCGAGGAAGTATGTTGATTCCTTTTTGTGGTAAGTCAGAACTCAGGGAGAAATTTGTTTACTTTCATGATGGATGTCTTTATCCTTGACATGTGGCTTATTTACTCAGCGTCTTTTCAAAATCACACTTTATCCTGAGAAAATCTAGACGCAAGTCTAATCTCTGATCTCTTGGCTCACTCTTTGCAGTGCGGAGTGGGCCCTGCTCCTTCCAGGACGGGCCTGCCTAGGGCTGTCAGTGGGGCCTGGCTCCCCAGGGCCACCGTCCTGGCCACCAGCCCGAGCCTGGGAGCGGCCAGCGCTGTTGGCATTCCCCGTTTGCTGAGGACCACGCTCACTTCCTCCAGCACCCATTCCTACTTCCTAAGGAGAAAGCTCAACAGCGAGAATGGGATGAACTGAGCAAATAAATTACAACCAAGTGAATTTAAACTCCTCTCAAAACATTTTCTGATGATTTTGATAACTCTTTGACCTAATTTGGACAACAGTGAGGAAAATTCTGATTTATGCCTGGAATTCAAGTATAGCCTGTAGCTTGGCGTGTGTGTTTTAAGTGCTTGATATTTGTCTTTTTAGGAAAGTGCACTCATTCTTAGACGAGACGGTATTTGAAAGACAAGACTGTGTTTGGAATGTGCGGAATTACTGTGTAAGACTCAGAAGCTGGGAGCAATGGCAAGCGGCTAGCTTTGTGTGGAAACTGACCAGCTGGCTGGAGCAGTCTCTGTCCTTGTGGGTGGAGAAGCCTGCGAGGGGATGCAGAGGGCCTGCCCCAGGGCAGAGCTCTTCTTGATTTTAGTCTCCCTTGCCGTGTAGAAGGGCTCAGGGCCCCGGGCACAGGCCTCTTCTGCGGAGCGCTCCAGGTCCGCCTTGGCTCGGGGCTCCGCCTCCTCGTGAGGAAATGTCATGGAGCTGTGGTTTGACGTTTCCGGTTTGTGGCTAGTTTCTTGTGTGTACAAGTCTCTATAGCTGTGCCGAGCCCTTCCGGGAGCAGTTGTAGATTTTTACTGCCTTCAGCACGTCCTCAAGGGTTCAGGGAGTCCTTTCTGTCCACCGTTGTATCCGGCGACCCTGGGCAGCTGCTGAGTGGTGCCATGGGCCCTGGTGCTCCGCTGGGAACTGTTGGTCACTGGTGCTCTTCAGACTCCATCGGCTTCCTTTCGAGGGTCTGTATCAGAGGCCGTCTGTCTGGTGTGATAGGGGCGGGTGTGGTATGCTTGTCCATGGTCACGGACTAGGGTAATTATTATAGGTGCAGTGGATGGGAACTTTCTGTGGGCTGGGCACTGCCCTAGACCCTGGACGGTGGTAGGTTCCACTGTCTCCCAGGTGATAGATGGCAACCCCAGAGGTCAAGTAATGTGTCCAGTGCCACAGGAGTGGTAGGTGGTCAGGTGGCACCCCCCATGCAGTGTACAGCTGCCACGGAGACCATGTGGGCCCTTACTCTCCCTCTGTACATCTGTGAGCACCAGCCGTGCATAGCCACTGTGCCAGGATGCCCAGGGTAGTGTCCTGAGAGATTACCAGTAGCCTTGCCTTGTCCCCTGTGGCTTAGGGGACCTCCAGTGGTTAGGGCTGGGGGAGATGAACCTAATGACCTGGTGTCCCCGGGGGAGGCCGCAGCACCTGGGTGTGGGGTGGAGCAGGAGTCCCAGGAGCTGTAGAGGCCAAGGGGGGGTGCCTTATAGGCACCGTCAGCGCTGGCTAAGTGAAGGAAGAGCCTCTTCCACTTTATAAGCTCACAGTCCCCTTTGGGCTACCTGGAAATGGTGACACTGGGAGGGCCCCAGGGGGCAGATGTGGAATGAGAAGACAGAGGGAAAGAGGGTGGGGTGTGAGCTGTGAGCTGCAACACTTGCCTTTGGGTGTGTGGAAGCCATGATGATTTCTTGGCCAGTGGCTTATAATTTCCCAGAGGGAGCAAAGCTGTGTGTCATGAAATCGTGGACTCTTGCCTCGGGACAGCTGGTCTATGTCCTCAGCAGCCCTGGCGGCACCTCTGGAACAGGTTGGGTAGCATGGCCAGCACAGGGCCAGGTGCCCCTGGGCAGGTGCGTGGTGAATCTGTGCTGCAGGTAGGATGGCCGTGCGGTCATGGAGGGCCGGGTGGGCCAAATCAGTGGCTTGCAGTGGGGGACAGTGAGGATGGTCAGAATCTCAGTGTGGGCTCCTGGGACTAGGGTCCGGGCCTATGGAGAGTCAGGGGCACGTTTTCTACCTAGCGGCTCTGCTATAGGAGGTAGGCCTGCCTGGAGCGTGGGCTCCCTGCCCTGGGCACTGTGCTGGGATGCCAGCCGGAGGCTATGGCAGTGTAGTGGGCTCCGGCTGGCCTGGCCCCTTGGCCTTGTGGTTCACCTCTGGTCTCAGCAGTCTTCGCTGGCTGGCAGCCCCTCTGGATGCCATAGCAGCCTCTGTGCAGGCGTAGGGGCCCCTGCGTCCCTGTCCCTGTCCTTGGAGGGGGAGCTGGGCAAGGCAGGCCACGCTCCTGCCATACGGTTGGTGTATGAGGGTGGACAGGCAGCTCGCTGTGGCCTCACCTCATCCCACCAGGCCCAGGAGGTCAGTACACAGGCCTGATCGGGGCACTGCGCACTCAGCGGCAGCCAACCCGTGGCATGGTTCCCACATGCCCGTTCACCCTCAGGACCTAGCAAAATGCTTGAGCTCATGCACAACTTTGAAATGGTCTTTGGAAGTTCCAAGAAGCCCGTGGGCCCTGACACTTGTTTGGGATCCTGCAGAGCTGGCCGACCTTGAGCCTGCGCCCAGCCTGGTGACTGTGTCTTTGTGGGGTGCCTGTGTTGGTGCCGGCGCTGTGGCCTAGTGGGCATTGGCATCACCTTGCATAGCTACTCTGTCCTTTGTGCCCCAAGGCTCTATGGAGCAGGAGAGTCTGGGCAAAGGGAGGGCCTGCGTCCCCGCCCCACCGCACCTCCCCCGGGAGAGCTCTTCACCTGCCCCACAGGCAGTGTTCAGAAAGCGCCGAGGGTGGTACCGGGAGGCCACCAGCAGTGGGGCTTTTCTTTGATTTTGGAAGTGCTGTTTCTGAGTGGGAGGCCTTGGCTTCGCTGGAGGAGTGATTTGTTTTGAAACCACACCCATGCTGGGCTAAGATTGACTTCCTGATATGAAAGTCTGTGGCGGTGTTTGCTGAGAAGTCACACGTTTGAAGGGAAGGGTTTTATGACTTCATCTGTGACGCCTGTGGAGCAGTGTCAGAGGCTGTGATTTTTCCTGAGTGTGCCGGACCCATCCTGGGGTCGGCACACATGTGGGAGCCCTGCTTGTCACCTGGGGGTTAGGGTGACCCGGAGCAGCAAGTTCTCCCCTGGGGCGGGTTCAGAGTGGCTCAAGGGAGGTGGGAGAGCCCCAGGGCTGGCCCCTGGCTCTTTGACCCCCATCAGCTGCTCTCCAGCCCCTGTCAGGCCCTGCCCGCTTCAGCCCGCATTGGGCCTGCCCTGCTGTGCAGGGGGAGGGGCAGGAGAGTCCATCTTCGGGGCTCTCTGAGCTGGACAGTTCTGAGAGGCAGCTTCCAGCTCGTGGTAAAAAGAAAGCCCAGTGCCACACCGCCAGCAGCATATGGGGGCCTTCAGGTCCCTGGAACACCGAGGAGGAGGGAAGGGGCGGGATCCTCCGACGGGGCAGCAATGGGGCTGGGTGTCCCTGCGCAGTGTTTACACCCTGGGACCTGCCACAAGGCATGGCTTTCAGGAGAGCCTCCCCCAAGAAACACTAAGGACAGGACGGGGCTTCCAGAGACCTTGGCTTCCACCCAGGAAGGCTGATCTGTTCTCTGACTGTTGCATCAGCTTCCTCACCCTCTGCAGGTTTCAGGGTACGAGCCCTAGGGAGCATCATTCAGAGCGCCCTGTTGGCCACTTAGGATCAGGAGGGCCTCGGCTCACCCGGGCCGTCTCCCTCTGGTCGCATGTGGTTGGCCGTCCTGTCAGAGCCGTGGGCAGCCACACTTCTTTTTCCAAGATAAACCGCTGCATCTGCCCGGCGACCTTCATGCGTAGTCTTACATTAGCACATTCTTAACAGACATTTAAAAACCAACCAAACAAAATCCAGTTTCCTGCCCCCACGCTCTCTCGCTCTTTTGCCACACTCACAAATGTGAGCTGCATTTGGAAATGCCTGTGCTTCCATTTGCAAACCAAAGCTGAATGGAACCTGGCAGGCACATCTGCTCCCCCGCGGTGGAGGCTGGGGCGGCCCGAGTGGAAAGAGGTGAACCCTGTGCCTGCTGGGAGTCCCCGAGCAGCAGTAACCCCGGTGTCTGGGATGGCCTTTGGGGTGTGACCTTAGGCTGAGGCCAGAGCCCATCTCCCCGCAAGCTCCCCGTCTGGCCTGGGGAAGTCAGCCCCCTCGTTTCCAGGACTGCTTCTTTCCCCTTTTGTTTTTGGTCATTGAGCCCCCGCTCGGGGACGGCCCCCACCCCAAAGGTCCTGTGTGCCCTGAGTAAGCTGCTGGCTCTCAGAGGTGCCCACATAACCTTCCTTTCGGATCTGATGGGAGCCGTGGCCAGACGGGGCTCTGCCCTCACAGAGCTTCCCCTCTGCAGAGAAGGGGCAGAGTGGTGTCACTGGGCAGCCAGCTTAGATCGAGCAGCAGGAGGTAAGGCTCAGCTGAGTCAGACGGCTGGGACCAGGCCGGGGGCTTGCTCTGCATGCCAGGACAGCAGCATTGGGCTCTGTCCCCCCGTCGGTGCCCCTGTGTCTCTCAGGAACCCCTTCAGATGTAGTTAACACCTCCAACTTGGAGGCCTTGCCTGACTGTCCTGACCCTGTTTATTCTCCTCTCCCATGTCCTTCTAGAACATACTCTCAGGCAAGACATGAACATGCTGCCGTGTGTGGAGCCTCACTTCCCTGCCCTTGCCCCTGTCCTTGACAGCAGCTGTCGGGGCGGCTGATGTGCAGTTGCAGTGGCCGGTGCCCTTGGACTGGGTCTGACCTCTGGGGCAGAAGCTAGGGTGCGACACAGCAGACATGAAGGAGGGTAGCATTTTCATGTCTTCTAGCAGTGATTGTAGTGGCATATATGTGCCTGTGTCACCGCCGTAGCGGATGCGGGGATCTTCTCTTGGCCCTGAGTGTTTGGGGCAGGGTCCCCATCCTTCATTCTCTCCTGTCTTCATCATCGTAATGGGCCCTCCCTGGGGCTCGGCTTCCCCGGGCTTCACGCGTAGATCTTTCGTGAAACATGGAAGCTTCCAGGCTGTCTCAGTGGTGCCCTGACCTTCCAGTGAGGGATCCACTCCTTAGATCTTCACGCTGTCCTGCTCACCAGGGCACCAGCTTTTCCAGGGACTGCTGGGTGGATTCCAGAACCGTCCCTCCTTGTCCTTAGTGCCTGAGCACAGGCCTCCTCGCCCGTGTTCTTGGGCTGTGAGTGTGGCCCACCGAGCGCCCTCTGCCCATGGCACCTTCAGCCGTGTGCACCCTTGGGGGTGTCCTGCTTGTGGTGCCTGCCCACCCCTGCGCTGGCCCAGGTCTCACTGGCCACACTCTTGCCCAGAAAATGAAGCCACACTCCTGCACAGAAAGTGAGGCCAGGCCGAGGATGGGGACATTTGGCCAAAAGTGTCAGAGCCAGGCTCTGGCCCCTCAGAGTAGAGATCAATCCTAATGGCATTACCTTATCTTGGACCTGGGCAAACAAGGCAAGGGTGATTTGAGAAGATCCTCATCTGTTTCTAATTAAATTTCTATCTCTGCTTTCACAAAAGCTTCTCTTTTGTCTCTTCCTCCTAATTATTTTTAAAATCTCAAGGAAAATACATCCCTTCCACTTACAATTCCACAGAGAACCAAATTGCTACTCTGTTTCTAAAGTGTGTTATTGTGGTCTCTGATACTAAGCCAGGGTTTCTGTAATCCCACTAAAATTTTATTTCACATCACAGAAATTTAGGATTCCCTCAAGGAGACACCACAGGAGGAAATACTAGCTTCTAAAAAGCCACGTGGATACCCTGTCTTGGGTCTCAGTGGACCATGGCTCCTCCTTGGGCCTTGGGGTAAGCACGGCCCGGCGTCACTGCAGGTGGTGCTGGTGTGGTTGGGAGGGTCCCTCAGGGCTTTCCCCTGGAGTGACAAGGGGGCAGATGCCACCCTGCTGACTCCCACCTAGGGCCTCTGTGTCTGGGGCCTTCAGG